TGGAGCCTGCTTTGGATTCTGTGTCTCCCTCTCTCTCTGTTACTTCCCCACTCACACTCTCTCTCAAAAATAAAGATTTTTTTTTAATTAAAAAAATAAAAAAATAGAATCTTTAAAAAAATAAAGAAAAGGTAAGACAATTTTATAACACTAATGGGTTTCATATTTACCCCCAAAAAACCCATGAAGGAGATAATGATTTCATTTTTGTACCAAGGTCATTCAAAAGGGACTGAATTTTCTTTTCTCCTCATGAAGCCCTTCCAGGAAGTGCTAAGCAGTAGATGCTGGACCAAGATTGTTTTCTCTTTATTTTGCAACTAGAGCCATCTCTGCTGCTTTGTTCGTAACCACATGAAAAGGCTACTAGGACTAAATTGAAATGTTCGTTCAAGACAGTATGTATAACACATTTGCCTCATAACATTAACTGGAGCCTTAAGACAAAAAAGGAGGAAGAAAACAAAAGAAGTCAACTGAACTTCATCTCTAAGTAAAGGATATCTCTACCATAGTGACCATCTTTGGTTTCAGTTTGACTATTTCACATAATATGCCCCCATCTCCGCCCCCTAGAATCAGCACGTCTTTGCCACTGTAGTCTTCTTTTCCACTGCCCATGATGGCCTGGGTATACGCCAAATCACTCTCCGCCAGATCTAGGGAGGAAAAACACAGGTCCAAAATGGTGACTCTACCCAAAGCCATACCATGACCTGACTCACCATACTGGAAAGTGCTGGAATCTAGCCTAAAATACAAATTTAAAAAATTTTTGATCTTTAAAAACTGTCAACAATGTGCAGAGATACTTTTATTTTTTCTGGACTGTGGATTTTTCATCAACCCTACCCATCTGACACCTAATACATTACATACAGATTACACACACATATACCTTGAAGAAAACTCAGTCTTACAAATGTTCTGATATGCCAATTAAAAGCAATTACATCTTTCATTACATGAAGTATAACATCTAAGAGTTGTTCCAAATATGAGAGGGAGAAAGCAAACCAGGGTTTAGAGGAAACAAGATTGACCAGGAGTTGCTAATTACTGTCACTCAATGGTGAACATACATGGGTTCATCATACTATTTTGTACACTTGGGTTTGAAATTTTCCATAACAAAAAGATTTCCTAAAAAATAAGCAATCATATTTTCTTTACAGAAGTATTATCCAAATACTCAACACTAAGAAAACTAAAAAAAAGGAACATCAAGACCAAGTTTTCATGGCTCTGCCATAAAACATGAAAGCCCAGACAATTCACAGGTTAATGTGACATAAACATTCCTATCAAAACAAAACAAAACAAAACAAAACAAAACAAAACAAAAAAAACAAACAGCACTGCCAAGGACAAAGTAGGACAAATCCACAATGGTGTATTTATGAGGAAAACATTGTCACTTTGCTATGCAACTGGGGTAGGGATGGAATGAATACTTACTAACATCCCCACTAAGGATGAGAATGTTTCCAAATTGCTTTGAGTGTAGAATTTTAATGTTCTGATAAGGTGAATCTTCATCATACACCACTTCATCTATGTCATACTCAACCAGGCGACCATCAGCAGTGGGCCAGTATCTGTCGATGGCCCCTCCTCGAACTATGGGTGGTAATCTGGAAAAAAGGAAAAAGGAATGAGCCTTACAGGAACTGCTTACGGGCTGCTTATGGTGACACTGCCTTAAAAGCGAATCTTTTGGGGCGCCTGGGTGACTCAGTTGGTTAAGCGTCCGACTTTAGCTCAGGTCATGATCTCGCGGTGAGTGCGAGCCCCTGCTTCACATTCTGTGTCTCCCCCTCCCTGCCCCTCCCATGAGCATGCTTTGTCTTTGTCTCTCAATAATAAACAAATGTTAAAAAAAAATTTTTTTTTTTTTTTTAGGGTGAATCTGGAGGAGCACCTGGCTGGCTCAGTGGAGCATGCAACTCTGATCTCAGGGGTGATCCACAGGAGTATAAGCCTCACATTGTGGGTAGAGAGTACCTTAAAAATAAAAGTGGGGGCACCTGGGTAGCTCAGTCAGTTGAGCATCCAACTTCAGCTCAGGTCATGATCTCATGGTTCATGAGTTTGAGCCCCACATCAGGCTCTGGGCTGACAGTGCAGAGCCTGCCTAGGATTTTCTTTCTCCTTCTCTCTCTCTCACAAAATAAATAAACAAAAAAAAATTTTTTTTAAGTGAACCTGGAAGCATGAGTGTACAAAAAGCAAGCCATAATGACCTCATGGCCAATTCCTGAGTAGTATATAAATCTAAAGCTTGGTATTTCAGCTATATACAAACATGGCCCCTACCAAATCTAAACAACTGTGGTACATTACGAGTTTACTTTTTAAATAAACCTTTCTGGCATAATTTAATTTTCCCTTAAAAAAAAGTTGGGAGAAAATGGCAACCTCAGACATCATACTTCATACCCCAAATACTTCAGCAAAAATCAAAACTGCCTACACAACCACACTGCCATTACCAAATTCATACAAGCGCACATGGAAGCAAAACTATCATCTAGTACACAATCCATATTTAAATATCCCCACAATCGTCTCAATCATGTCATTGATAGCTATTCTGCTTTTGAATGAAGAATCATACACTATATTTTGTTTTCCTTTTTTGACCCTCATTTCACCTAGTATAGTTTTTCCTCTCATGTGTTTCACAACCCTGACCTCTCAGTCCAGACCAGGTGTTCTGCAGAAAATCCCTCATGAGGGTTTGCCTGAAGATCTCTTCATCAAAGTCAGGTTGGCATGTATTTACACAGGCATCACATCAGGGGCAGAAGATGTGTGCTTCCTATCGTTAGAGATGTAAGTGTGACCACTTGGTTCAAATAGATGGCACCAGATCTCTTAATTTGCAATAGTACCTTTTTCCCTTTGAAATTACTAAGCAAGCTATGGGGTAGTCCTCTGAAATTGGGTGAAGGTCCTGATCTCCCAATAAACCTCCAGTAGTGGCTTTGGCATCTAGAAAATTCTTGGCCAAACCAGTTATTATTACTACAAGGACTGCAAACTGATGATTTTCCCATTCCATTCCATTTTGTAAAAGTTCAGTATTGTAGACAAGGTGAATATACTAGAAACTACCAGCAGAGGACACTAAATGACAATGAAAACAAGACCCAGAAAAGGAGCTTGGCAAATCTAACAGGAACACAAAATGAAAACTGACTACACGTATAACTATGTGCAAGTCATATGTTCTCAGATACAGTGGTTTCAACCATAAAACAGATTAGCAATAAAACAGCTGTATACTGGCATCTGCTACCTCTGACTTGCTCTGATGACTCTCTTTGTTCCCCTCACTCACCTATTTCCAGGAATACAATCTGAACCTGTCTTAATGAAGCTTCCTCTGAGCAAACACTAACAACTATAAAAAACATAGAGATTTACACAAAGCAAATTTCCATAAACTCTCATTTAATCCTAACAACTCCTGATTTAACCACTTGATCTTTTAAGTGAACAAATGCAGCTGTTGTAATTACTAGCAGACAAGAGGTTTGTCTTGTAAAATGTGGTGCCCCAAAAAGGGTAATATTTCCCACTCCCTCTCTCCAGAACAGGCAAACAGGACTTGGAGGTAGCCTCTTCCACCCCGGCTAAGGGTTGGTGGGTGGAAGGAGGTGGGGAGGTAAACCACCTGTGACATTAGATGATGGTGACAAATATCAAGTCATGGGTTTTCAAGGGAGTAAATCCACCCCTAGTTGACCACCAGCCAGCTATCGACAATTACTGAACTATGCACAAACCTGCTGAAAATACATGTCCGTTCTCAACTGTGTCACTAGTGCCTTGGCTAAAGAGCTCTTCCCTTGATTGCAACACAATGGTTCTGTTTTTCTTTTTTTTTAGGATTTTATTTCTGGGGCACCTGGGTGGCTCAGTCAACTTAAGTGTCCGACTCTTGATCTCAGGTCAGTCATGATCTCGCGGTTCTTGAGTCTGAGCCCCACATCAGGCTCTGTGCTGATGGCACGGAGCCTGCTTGGGGTTCTCTAATTGTCTCTGTCCCTCCTTCATTTGTATTCTCTCTCTCAAAATACATACACTTTTTAAAAAACCTTATTTTTAAGTAATCTCTACACCCAATGTGGGGCTCGAACTCACAACCCCGAGATCAGAAGCTGCAATGCTCCACCGACTCAGGTTATGATCTCACAATTCAGGAGATTGAGCTCCACATTGGGCTCTGTACTGACAACATGGAGCCTGCTTGGGCTTCTCTCTCTCTCTGCCTCTGCCTCCCTCTCTCAAAATAAATAAATATTTTTTTAAAAGAATCCATAAAGTTTATTTATTTTGAGAGAGAGAGCGCGAGCACAAGTGGGGAAGGGACAGAGAGAAAGAATCCCAAACAGGCTCTGAACCATCAATGCAGAGCCCGATTCAGGCTCGAACTCATGAACTGTGAGATCATAACCTGAGCCGAAATCAAGAGTCAGATGCTTAACCAACTGAGCTACCTGTGCACCCCAACACATTGGTCTTTAAAGCCTGGCAAAGAAACAAAAAGGATCTCTAACAGGATGGGGAAGCCATCTATCTTGATGAAGCACTCATCCCAGCATGAAGTACATCTATCTCTTTGGAACGGGCTACAGGAGATATTCCGGAGCCCCACACAACTCTGGTTTCAACTGTCACTGCTGAACACTAAAAATGGATCCTAGAGAGAAAGTCAGGTAAAGTATGTCCTGGGCCTCAGGTACACTGGGTAAACCACAATATGTCCCTCCACTCCTCAACAAAACTTAAATGATGTGAGTTTGTTTTCCTGTTCCTTTTCTTTTGAAAAACAATATGAAAATAAATTCTCTAATACATGCCATAGCTTCTTAGTTGAAAATTCAGATTTAAGTCATCAGCCACAGGGGAACAATAATTTCAGATGTTACTGAGTTACCTGTTAATGACTGAATTTCTTTTTTTTTTTTTAATTTTTTTTTAACATTTATTGATTTTTTTGAGACAGAGACAGAGCATGAACAGGAAAGGGTCAGAGAGAGAAGGAGACACAGAATCCGAAACAGGCTCCAGGCTCTGAGCTGTCAGCACAGAGCCCGACGCGGGGCTTGAACCCACGAACCATGAGATCATGACCTGAGCCAAAGTCGGACGCTTAACCGACTGAGCCACCCAGGCGCCCCAATGACTGAATTTCTAACCATGTCATTCCCCAAAGAGAAAAGTGGCACCATCCTTGTCCTTTTGAGGCCAATAACAAAAAGCCTACCACCAAATATTCCCAATAACTTCTCGACACCTCCACCCTGGTTTTATGAAAAGATTTAACAGCAGCAACAAGCAAAAGCAAAGTCTGTATTGTGAATTGAAAATATGAAGCTTAACTCCACTCTCAAAACTCCTCTACCAAAAAGAATCAGACTTGTCATGAATGCCGAAAACCACAAACGCATTCCATCTATTTACTCACTCCTAAAAACAACCCCAATAAAAGACCAATAAAAATCAGAGGCATTTTGATGTTGGCAAATTCATTATCATGGAGTTAACACATTTTACAACACAGTGGGAACCTGCTGAATGCAAGCTGGTGCAGATATGAAAATGGTGCAAGCAGGGAAAGATGGAAAATCCACAAGTGTGAGGGTGTGAACAGACTTTTAAGGATAGGAAAGAGGGAAATATAGCTGCAGATGCATACACTGAACTTAGGCGGGATACACAAATCTAGGTACTCTGGCAGATTTCAACAAAGTGGGCAACTTGTGGACTGTTACACTCGTTTACTGGCAGTTCCCTGCTTTCTACCTTACCAGAGATCAAACAACTTTCTGGTTAAGCTTACATCAGCCCTGGAGCTTTCCTATGGGCTGAGGAACTCAGCATGCTGAGCAATTCAGTCCTTACACATCCTCGGTCTTGCCAAAATGAATTCCCTCTTCTAGAAAATGCTGTCAACTAGGGAAATCTGTATTCTGGTCGCTTCCATCAGTGGTAGTGCAACCTTGGTGCAGTGTGTTTGCTGTTGTGAGTAATGGGCCAGCCTCCTACTCCTGGGGCCTGATAAGGAGCCACCCAGACAGGGAAGAGCAAACTGCTGAGAATTACCTGCTGGGCATCCATGATTCACTTCTATTCTTAATTCCCAGGACCCACCCGAGACTGTCCATTCCAACAAACGTCAAAACTGTTATTTCTATCAAAGCTCTTTTAACAATTGACATCACGGGCAAATACCTCTACACTGTTCAAGAGAACTTTTGGTAGGGACAGAAACGTTCCTTATCTGTGCTGTGCACTATGATAGTCACTAGCCATTAGCTACTAACAGGAGACTAGTGAGAGGAGAGGAATGGAACTATTTTTATTAACTTAAGTTTAAACAGCCAAAAACTGTCTTCATTACCATTTGAAAAGAACAGACCTGTGGCTGCTCAAAGTGGGTGGCCTCTCAATTCTTCCTATCTTGCAGTTACCTTACTTGAAAGCTGTGAGACAAATTTTCTGTCACCTCATCTTGTCCTGAATCTTAGAACTGAATTCCACTTGAGAGCACAGAGTTCTGAGCAGAGAGAGCGCGTTTTCACTTTACTGGACCAGGTTGGGAAGTTTTCTAACTCCCCTGTGACTGAGATGGAAGCCCCATCAACTCTCTGCTTTATACAGTTCCATCTCCTGAGACTCACTCCCTATCTCCTTTCTACCCTGTCTTGTTTGGGTATGAGGCACCTGCTAGCTCAGGCTATCATGTTGCCAAAAGCAGCCCGTACTCGGGGACAACACGACCATTCCGATGATCTTACCCGACATTCAGGAGTGAACTTACCGCTTCACCCGCCCAGTACTGTCCGGACTCAATTCTTTCATTCTTTCTTCTACTTTGTTCAGAAGCTACAATTAAAAGAAAAGAAGTCAATGGGCTTACAGAACAGGCTAAGAGGTACACCGAAGTTACAGACCAGGAGGCTGAGGCCGTGGTGATAGACCTGTGCTTTTACTCCTGTCCTCCCCCATCCCTTCAGCAGCCTCCAGACCTGGCCCAGTTCCACACACCACACCAACCAGGCCTCAAGGTGCCGACCCAACCTCAGTCTAAGTCACCAGTGAAATAACAGGGAAGGGGAGAGCAGAAGGGTAAGGCACATAGAACATCCTGCTTAAAGGTGTACGTTCCATCCAGTGGCAACAAGTAAAATTACTCAGTATTCAAGCAGTCAAGGGAATGATGACAAGCCAGGTTCCTAACAATAACTGAGGAACAACTATTTTTCTTCTAAAATCATTGATCTGGAGGGAGGAAAGTTTAAAGTTAACTGGGTTGTCAACAATTAAGTAAAATAACTTTACCATTAAAATAGACATTTAATGATCCTCAAATACTTATAATTACATCAAAGTAAATAAAAAGTCAATAAAAGTGAAAAACCAACACTGTCAACTTCTTGGCCTTGTGAATCACCATCATAACTCTGAAGGTCCAATAACACCAGTCCATGTGGGTAAATTCTCAAATTGGCAAAACTACAAAGGAAAGTATAATTTTAAGGTTAGGAATTGTATCATGGCATTCCCAAGAAAAAGACACCAACCCACCCAATTAAAAGGAAAGACCATTGCTCTTTTTTCCCCTAAATTACATAGTTAACCCTTTTGGTTTCTTAGGAGAGCCTCTTCTTGGGTGTGAGGGAGCCACCTATCAGGGAAGATTTAGATGGAGTCACCACATGCTAACGTTTTCACATAACAGGTTCTTGGGCCCAGAAAGTGATTCAGTAGCAAGTTCTGTGAACTTGATGATTTTTTTTTTCCAAAGTAAATTCTACCCCCAAAGTGGGACTCGAACACACGATCCTGAAATCAAGAGTCGCATGCTCTACCATCTGAGCCAGCCAGAAGCCCCTGTGAACCTGCTTTTTAAGAAGGTTCCCTGACACATGATTGGGCCAGGTTTAGTAACCATGGCCTTAAGATGAAGGGAGGGTAGGAAAGGGCAAGTGGGTCCTCCCAATTAACCTTCAGAGAGTTCAAACCAGAGCCTTGTTTTTCTGACTGCAAGCAGGTGGTGGTTAAACTGACTTAGTTGTGGATTGGCACACCCCAGCCCTATACTGCAAACCAGATCCAGCCCGCAAGCTGTTTTGCAAAGCCTGCAGATTAAGAATGGTTTTTACATTTTTTAAAGAGTTGTTTAAAAAAGAGAGAGAGAATGTGACAGACACTTAAGTGGCTTCTTACAAAAAAGCTTTCTGACCCCTAATTTGGTGAATCTGCACATTTTTCTTAAAATGTCAAAGTGTATCACATCTAATAGAAGTTAATTATTTGGAAAAACTTCTGTTTCAATCATACACATGTATCTGTACTGCATAGACACAGAGGAATATGTACAGGGTTATGACATAAAATTACTTCCTAGCATAAGTTGTGGTTAAAGAAACATTTGAAACACACTAAATTAGAAGAATTCTGTTCAGAGAATACCGGCAGTGTGCTTAGATTAAAAAAATAAACACTACTAGTTAATTTTACCTTCAGCCCCAAAATCAAGTTCAGGCCCAGGAAAGCACAAATCAATTACATCTGAATGTAGCTAATCATCTTTCCTTGCCCCTCCACCACCAGCAGCACAAAGGACAGGGGCTGGGGATGGGGGAAGGGTAGAAAAACATCACTTTTAACCACCTGATTGATTCTAGCTGAGTCCTCTGCCAGAGAACTGCAGAAACACAGGAACACAGACAATGCGGGAAGTTAAGGTCTAGTAACAAACTCAACCATTAAAAACAGAAAGAAATAGAGAGGAAAATTTGTGGGGCGGGGGCCCCGCGGGGTGGAAAACATGGAAAAAGGTGGATGAGGATCAGGACCTCAGCATCACAATGTGGCCATTAGCCAGAAGTCAAGCCAGAAGTCAAGCCAGAAGTCAAGCCAGAAGTCAAGCCAGAAGCGGATGCTGTCCCCCTGAGCCTGGTGGCCTGCCAACCACCCCCCACCACCACCACCAGTCCATGCCTGGGCGGGAGAAGTGAGGTTTCAGGACAGGAACCACAGGGATGACTCCCAGTTGACCAAGCAAAAGAAGAGGGAGACCAATGTGGAAAATAAGTTTTTAAAGCAAGTTGGGGAGCCTTGGTGGCTCAGATGGTTAGGCATCTGACCAGCTCAGGTCATGATCTCAAGGTTTGTGAGTTCAAGCCCCACACAGGGCTTTCTGCTATCAGCACAGCCTGCTTCAGACCCTCTGTCTCCCTCTCTCTATGCCCCTCCCCTGCTTGCGTGCTCTCTAAGTAAAAACATTTAAAATAACCATGTTAATTTTCATTTTTTCTGCTTTCAGAAGCAAACAGCTCTTGTCACTCAAAATTCCCTTCCAGGAAGAATTCTAGACTCCCTAGACAACGGGAATTGGTGTATATGGTACAAGATTCAAGAAATGAGGTACAGAAGTAGGCAGGGCCTGGCTGCAAAGGCAGTTAGGAGACTGTTACGAGATTCAAGGCTTCACCTAGAGTGGAAAAGGAGCCTCCTGGGGTGGCAGGGTGACATGGCTCAATTTGCTGTGGTTCCCAAAGGATGGCCCGTACCCAGGACAGCAAGAGACCATGGCAGGAAGGTGGAGAAAAGAGGCCAGGACAGAGAGGGACTGAATGCAAACCTGCAGGAGCTGGAAGGATCAAGGACAGCTGCAAACCTCTACTTCCAGGAAATGTGCTGTTAACTGGGTCAGAGCATGGACCAGGGGAGGCAGGAGAGTTTGGTGGTGATGTTGATTTGGGGTCAAATCAACATCTTCCTTGAGGAAAAAATTATTTTAGATACATTTGAGGTATCTGCTAAACACATACATGGAGATTTGCTACATAGTTAGAAATACATATCTGGGCTTGGGGAGAGAGGAGCTGGGAAGTCTTTGAGAGGCATCAAGAGAGGGAAGTCCATTACCCCCATGGGGTGGACCATGTTGACTTATACAGAGAATAATGAAAGGGCGGGGCGGGGGGCATGCTAAGAAGTTTCCCTCATCTTCCAGCATTGCCTTTTGAACCTCTGTAAGAGCATGGGGGTGGTTATTTTTTCTTTTAATAGAAAAACAAGTGAGAGAACATGGGACATTAATGAAACCATGTGGAATTCTAGTACTTTGTACCTTGGGGGAATGGAATTAAAGTCACTGAAAATACCCAGGAGTTCACATTTTAAAATTAACAGGGCAGGGGCACCTGGGTGGCTCAGTTGGTTAAGCGTCCGACTTTGGCTCAGGTCATGATCTCACAGTTCATAGGTTTGAGCCCCGCATCAGACTCTGTTCTGACAGCTCGGAGCCTGGAGCCTACTTCAGATTCTGTGTCTCCCTCTCTCTCTGACCCTGCCCCGCTTGCGCTCTGTCTCTCTCTCTCTCTCTCTCTCAAAAATAAATAAACATTAAAAAAAATTTAATGTTTTAAATTAATAGTGCAAATCACTAAGAATCTTACTAGTTTCCACGCTAAACCAGACAAGATAGAATACAAACCTAGACTTAGGAGAGCACAAAGAGCTCAACACACTGGCAGCTTCTTATTGGTCAGTTCTTAATTTAGGTTTCCTTTCCAACTCCCAGAACATATTGGCTTTCATCTACATACTGATTATGTAAAGTCTAGATAGTCTATAGAGTCTTAAGGAAAAAAAAAACTTGAAATCTTGGATCTCCTCATCTTGCTGTCAACCTTCTTGCAGACATTCTCATCCTGCATTTGACCATGGTCTGCATTAATTGATAATAACTTATAACCGTGCTAATCGCAGTGGGATTCACAGTGGGGTCAGCCGACCAGCACCACCAGCACTCCCTGGGAGCTTGCTGGAAATGCTATTTAGGGTGCTGCCCCAGAGCAGTATACTGCATCAGAAATTCTTGGAGTGGGGCCCAGGAATCTTTTAACCAAGTCTGAATCACGGCCTGCCAGTTCACAGTGCTTATGCTGCCCAGGGGGGTTCTGGGTCCTGGCCACACAGCAGAATCATCTAGGCAGGGGAGTTTGGAAAAATACTGATGCCCAGTGGCCTCAATCTCTGGGAGAATGACTGGGGTAATGGCATCTTGTGAAAGCGCTCCCAGACGAGTCTACTGTGCAGTTAGGGCTGAGAAGCACTGAATTCTAGCTCCCTCCTACAAGGTGTCACAGGAGGAAATAAAAATACCTGGACACCACCCCACCACTGCCCTTTGCCCCCACCCTCCACCCCCCACCCCCAACTGAAGTACTCAGATCTGAAGAGCAGCACTCAAGGACACCTCACCTGCCGTTTTTGTTTATGTAGGTCGCTAAATAACCATGGTCTTGCCAGGTGTGCACCGACTCCGTCATCCCTTGCTCCTGGAAAATGGACTGGAGGCCTTTTAGAATGGTCTCACCATCAGCTAGAGAACAAGGGAGAGAAGGCAAGGTGGTCAGGATGAAGTACATTCCAGAGGAAAGCCCAATGAGGCAGTTTGACGACCGAACTTTCTGAGAAAACCTGAACAAAGAGTTGCCAGTGTCACCTATCCCTTTTGTCATGAGCTGTGTAAACGTTCAACTCCATGAGGAGACACTACACAGATTACCAGGTAACACAATAAAGACACCAAAAAAACCCACAAAATAATTGTGCTGAGGATGCAGACATGTATTCAGCCAACTAGAGATGGCACAACAAAATATTTAGCCTAAACCAGAAATCAAAGATATGCAAATAAAGGAGCTTCTACTTTAGGGTAAATTAATGAACATATACAGTGCTAGAAAGGGGATTCCATCCTCTGTTGATGGGTATTATAAATGACTTCAAAACTTTTGGTTCTATGTTCCAGATGTCTCACAGTAAGGATGGGTTGCTATTATAATTTGAAAAACATAAATCAAACAGGGCCACTCAGTAACTTATTTCTATATGGTAGAAACTGAACAACTCCATATGGGACAACCTGCTATGCAGTGTGAACCCCTCCTTGGCCAGAAGCCACTCTTCCCCCTCCCTCCCACCCACCCGCCTCCAAAATGGAGCTCAATCAAGGTTACAGAAATTGCATTAATCTCTGAAGACTCACTTGAAGCCAGAATCTTCAAGAATATCCAACATTATGAGACTGAGAGGAAAGGCAAAATGCCATTTTTTCTCTTCTAGTTCTATATGCTAAGCAGTCATTTTCTGAGAAGGGTAAGATAAAAAACCGAGATGAGACTAAAGGAATTACTCTGTACTGGCCCATGAGCCCTGCACGGGCTGGTGCTTTTTCCACATAAAATAGCGGAGGCGGCAAAGCGTCAAAATGAAAAGTGGGTCTGTGACCTGAACCAAGGCAAAAGAAAAAACAGAAAGATTCACAGCTGACCACAGTGTGGTTTCACAAGAAAATTACACTAGAATTCCTTCCATAAACTAGTGCCAAAACCTGGACTAGAAGTTAGTATTTTTTTCACTCTACATAGAATGTATCTCCAGTGATGTCTGGAACTATGTTCTAAAGACCTTCCAGAGCATAGTAAATGAAGACCACAAATGGGGTCAGAGGCCAAATTGGACAGCAGATATGTCTTATTCTGGCTGGCACAGACTTTTTTTAAAAATGTAAGTCAGTTGCCCCTTAAAAACCTGATTTCACCTGCCCCCCCCACCTGCACTGGGTGGAATGGTGTCCCCCCCCCTCAAAGGATATGTCCACATACTAACCTCCAGAACCTGAAAATGTGACCTGATTTGGAAAAAGGGTTTTGCAGATGTAATTATGGATCTAGAGAGGAGATCATCTTGGATTATCCAGGTGGGCCCTAAATCCAATGACAAGTGCCCTTATGACAGAAAAGGAGACACAGGAGTAGGTGACAGAAAGACAAAAGTAGAGACTGAATTGATAACAGCCACAGGCTGAGAACACGGAAGAGCCATGAGAAGCTGGAAGAGGTAAGCAAGGACTCTCCCCTAGAACCTTTAGAAGGGACCACAGCCTTGCCAACAATTGTTTTGGATTTCTGGCCTCCAAAACTGGGAGAGAATAGGTTTCCGTTGTTTTAAGCCATCCAATTTGTAGCACTTTGTTACGGCAGCTCCGGAGGACTAATACACCCACCAAAATTCGTATTTTTAACATCACTTAACAAACAATAGTGGGGCGCCTGGGTGGCTCTGTCAGTTAAGCCTCTGACTTCCGCTCAGGTCATGATCTTGTGGTTGAGGAGTTTGAGTCCCGCGTCAGGCTCTCTGCTGTCAGCACAGAGACCACTTCGGATCCTCTGTCCACCCCTCTCTGCCCCTCTTCTGCTCATCCTCTCTCTCTCTCTCAAAAGAAATAAACTTTAAAAAACAGCAAATAGCATAGCAAAAATGGCAGTGAAGGCATCATTTTTTAATCTTCCAAATCCCCAGAGACAGAGATATTAGGATAGCACAACTAAAACTCACGGACAACATTTAAAATAAAACTAGATGAGTGTGCACCCCCAAGCGCCCAAACAGGAGCAGGTAGAGACAAGCAAGTCACAACCTAGAGGCCTGTGTGGTACCAGCAATGGTGAGAGGAAGTGAGAAAGCAAAGGGACTTCAAATTGCTCATAAAAACACCAGTTGGGGCTCATGCACAAGGAAGGGCTCTCCTCCTTTGAGAAGGCAGCACCCAGAAGGGACACAGTGAGAGAGAGCAGGGTACACAGTGAGAGAGAGCAGGATAGTTTATGGAGCCAGATAATGTCAGGGTGGCCAATCCCTATGACGAGCAAATGAAGGGAGGCTGCTTCTAGGGAAAAGCCCATCAGGGAAAGACTACTGGAGCAGAATGCACACCACACCCACAGCATAAGCATCAACGAACACGAGTGGTGACCTCATGTCTCATTAGTCTAGCTCATTCCCACAGAACTATGCCTTTGGGAAACTCATTTGGCAGAAAATAGCTGGCTTCGCTATTCTGAAATTGGTTTCAGGAAATTAAAAGGGGGAAGCCTGAATTTTATCTGCTGAATTATATTCGGTTTTAAGACCGAAATCCACCCCCTAAAAAAATTCTGATTTCAAACTTCATAAAAAAGAACTGACCTTGTTCAGTGTGTTTGTCACTGAAGCCTGGTGGGGTCAAGCCACCATGGAAGTGACTGAGCTGCAGGGCGGGAAAGACAAGTATGCCCAGTGTGCCCGAGTCCCACATACCCCAAGCAGTACTTGCCCTGAATAGGAAAACCACTATGTCATTATTCAATCCCTCCTCGGCTAGAACAGATGTTTTCTGTTTCGAAAGTGTATAAAACAAATCATCACTCCTGGTAAATGGCCTCAAGACTGGGTCCTGCTGGCACATTAGAAAACAGAACACAAATCCCTCATGCCGGTGAAGGGGACAATCTAGACAGGGCCACCCTATCACTGGCCAGGCTGTACAGTGAATGAAGACCTCAGCTCCAAGGCTGAGCCAGGGCAAAATCTATCCCTTGGGCCAAGGAAAGGGGGATCTTTGATACACCTATAACCCTTGTCTGTTGGCCAAACCCAGCATGGTGACCATCCCCCTTTTCTAACTGGCACTGGCAGAAAGGCACTGAGGGGGCTAATGGAGGCCCCCCATCCAGCCAGGTTTCAAACAGAAGAAAAACACATTATGAAAGAAACCCAATTGAGAGTGTTACTTATTTCTGTACTGTGGGCTTGCCCCTCAATTCAACACAAATATGCCAGGTCTGAATGTTCTTCCTGGCTGTCACCACCGCCTGGTCCTGTGTGGGCAAAGAACATGCCAGCCCTGCCAAGGATACAGGGACTGTGCTTTTCTGCACTATCCTCCTGCTCTCTCCTCTCTTGTCATCCACATCACTCACAGTCCTTGGAGAAGACTGAGAAAGGGGAGCCAGAGCTGAACCAACTGCCCAGCAACTCTTTCCCAGAACCAAGGTTTTCAAATGAAAACAAAACCATGAGGTGCCAGGGTGGCTTAGGCAGCTGGGTGTCCAACTCTTGATTTCGGCTCAGGTCACGATCCCTGGGTCATGGGATCGAGCACCAAGGTGGGCCCCATACTAAGCAGGGAGCCTGCTTAAGATTCTCTCTCCTTCCCTTTGCCCCTGTCCCCTGCTTGCTCTCTCTCCCTCGCACTCTAAATTTTTTTTTTAATTACAAAATAAATGAATAAAATAAAATGAAGCCAAAGACCTGAGCTCTGGTAGGTTTAATGATGTGGCTAGCTTGGTCATCTTAACCTCAGGTATTCAATAAATGTTTTGCGGGGAAATGAATTTATTTCAGTTAGCTAAATTAATCATCCATATTGCTATATCTTTGCAGAGTTTCTAGAACTTCTAAATCAGTGATTTTCAATCCTAGCAGTGCATTATCATCACCTGGAGAGTTTTAAAAACCGGTATGTCACATCCTAGACCAATCAAATAAAAGTCTGGGGTGGCACTCAGGCATCAGTATTTTTCAAAGCTCCCTGGGAAATTCCAATGCACAGCCATGGTTGAGAACCACTGATCTAAACCACTAGAAAACAAGAATGAACAAGAAATCCCAGCTATTTCCAAACTAATTACACTCGAGTCACAAAAAGGTTATAGAAAATGTTGAACAAAGTCTGACAAAAACCCAAACTCCTTACTAACTATAGCCACAGGTAGCCTAGGACATGCCCCAGAAAATGCTCTGCAGTAATTATCCAATTTCAACCTTTCATACCCATCTAGTAAGAAACATGTAACACAACCGAACAAAATATATTTGGCTATATCAGGGCTCCTCAACTGGTGATGACAACATATGGTGTGAAGGACTGTCTTGTGCCTCACAGAACCTTGGCAATCCCAGTCATACACACGACATGTGGGTAGTACCCCCCTTTGTTAAAAAAAAAAAAAAATTTAAGGGGGTGCCTGGGTGGCTCAGTCAGTTGAGTGACCAACTCTTGATTTTGGCTCAGGGAGGGCACTCTCTGTGTGATTGAGCCCCGCATCAGGCTCTGTGCTGACAGTGTGGTGCCTGCTTGGGATTCTGTCTCCCTCTCTTTCTGCCCCTCCTGTGTGCATGCATGCTCTCTCTCCCTCTCTCTGTCAAAAATAAATAAACAAACTTTAAAAAGTAAAAACAGGGACGTCTAGACGGCTCAGTTGGTTAAGCAACCGACTCTTGATTTTGGCTCAGGTCATAATCTCACGGTTTGTGTGATAGAGCCCCACATAGGGGTCTGTGCTGACAGCAAAGCCTGCTTGGGATTCTCTCTCCCTCTCTCTCTGCCTCTCCCCTGCTTACGTGCTCGCTCATGTGCTCGCTCTCTCTCAAAATAAATACTTTAAAAAATAAATAAAAATAAATAAAAATAAATTTTTTTAAAAGACTCCACATCATCATTGCCCAGGGGCAGAAGTGGAGTGGGCAATACAATCCCTTGAGAACTACT